GTCACAAAATACACATCATCCAAGTAAATTGCGTTCTATGCTGCATCGCAAATCCAAAATGGTCTTTTTCAAGACCGCAAAATATTTTATGAAAAAGAAAAAGATTTAATATCTAATGAGACTGACTTATTTAATTTTCTAGGTACCGAACTTTCTCTTGTAAATAAAACTAGCTATAAATAAATTTGTGTATTTTTAAATTATTGTAAAACATTTTTAAAACTATTACCTATGTTAAATAAATTTTAATTAAAATTGGTTCAATAAACGAATATTACAAAAAACATAAAATCTTACTCTTATTTCTTATTTCTAGGTTTAAAATTCTTAAATGAGACAATTTTCTTTGTTCTTGATAATTCTGATGACGCATTTTATTTGAATAGATAGATTTCTCTGACATTAACATTACACTAGTATGATAATTTCTTAAATAAAATAAATTGAATAAATTAAAATTTGAACTTACATAAGTTAAATTAATTTCGGACTCAGTCTTTGTACACAAATTTCTATTTAGCCTTTTCTTCATTCAATAAATCTGGTATTTTGTATGAAGAATTTTATAAATTAATTTAATTAAGATTGGAACTTTCAATTTGTCAAAATTGAGTTTAATTTTATTATTTTGATAAATTTCTTCAATTTGGCATTTAATTAAATTTCATTAGACATGATTAAGTTAAAGTTAAACTCATTAAATTTTATCGCATAAATTTCCAAGCACTGAGTGTCCAACATTATTTCTTTTGGTACTTAATCGTACTTAAGTTCATTAACATTTTGAGATTTTGACTTAATTTTATGAATCTACAATAAATAAACTTTCATTTATTGAAAATTTCATCAAAATAAGTAATTCGGTTCAAAAGTTATTGAAGATTAATTAAAGAAAATTCCAAATTTTCTCACAAATTTTGACTTTAACTGCTTTTTTTGAGCCATTGTTAATTTAATTAAATATAATTAAAATCATCATTTGGGAGACTTTAGATTGTAAAATAAGATTCCAAAAAGTTTTTTGATCATTTAGTAAAAGTTTGTACAATAATTAACAAATTTTGAGATCGACGCAGAAGTTTACGAGGGAAAATTTTCCAACAAAAATTGAGCGCGAGGCTTCGTTTCCATTCACATCGCATTGTTAAGGGACCCTCGCATTTCTATATTTCACATAATATTTTCAATTTGAAAATTATTTTTACACAAGTAAAGCAAGAAAAATAAAAAAATAATCAAAACAAAAATGTCTGACCCAGCAATAGAAGTCGCACCAGTTCCAGTTGCTTCACCAGCAAAAGCAAAGAAAGAGAAAAAACCAAAATCTGATAAGCCAAAAAAACCAAAGGCACCAAGAACTCATCCACCAGTCAGTGATATGATTGTCAATGCCATCAAGACATTGAAAGAACGAGGTGGTTCATCAGTTCAAGCTATCAAGAAATTCCTTGTTGCTCAATACAAAGTTGATACTGATAAATTGTCACCATTCATCAAGAAATACTTGAAATCAGCCGTTGAAAAGGGACAATTGTTGCAAACAAAAGGTAAAGGAGCATCAGGATCATTCAAATTACCAGCAGCAGCCAAGAAAGAAAAGGTTGTAAAGAAGGTAACAAAGAAAGTCACTGAGAAGAAGCCAAAGAAGGCTGTGTCTAAGCCAAAGACTGGTCAGAAGAAAGTCAAGAAGACAATTGCCAAGAAACCAAAAGTAGCTTCAGCCACAAAGATCAAGAAGCCTGTTGCAAAGACCACAAAGAAGCCTGCAGCAGCTAAGCCAACAAAGAAAGTCGCAGCAAAGCCTAAAGCTGCACCAAAGCCCAAAGCTGCACCAAAACCAAAAGTTGCCAAGCCAAAGAAGGCAGCAGCACCAAAAGCAAAGAAACCAGCAGCAGAAAAGAAGCCAAAAGCTGCCAAAAAACCACCAGCAAAGAAAGCTTAAATTTGACATCAATTAATATTCATATTATAATTGCTGATATTCAGCAGTAACCTCAAAATAGTCCTTTTCAGGACTACAAAATCTTATTCGAAAAAAGAAAAATTAAATTTTGATTACAATTTCTACTTTCTAGCGGCATTTTTTGTTTAATAAATAAATATTCTGTGATATTATCTCTAAATATACGATTTTTGATTTCTGAATGCTATGCTTATGAATCTACATTTAAAATCATCAACGAATTCACCTCAATCTAAAATTCCTAAAATGCAGCTACCCTAATATGCAGATAGTACTGCCAAGATGCAGATGGTACTGCTAAAGTGCAGATGAAAATTATTTTCCCTAAAATGCAGATGAAATGCTGTTGCTTTAAAAAAGGTATAATGCAGATGATTTTTAACGTATAAAGTGCAGATAAAATGCTGCCCAAATGTAGATCGTATAATAAAATTAAAATGCATCATATTTGATATTATAAAAATTATAGTAAACTTTTGTTTTAAAAAATTCGTAAGAAAGGAAAGGTTTTTGCTTTTTCTGAAGCAACGACTATTCCTACCTTGCCCAAAAACTATACAGCTATTCTATAGAGCAGCACGGATCAAATGTAAAAAACTAGAAGTCTCTACAATGTCTCGTTATTGAGATTTCATGCTGATTAACTTGCTTGCTTGTTTGCTTACAGAAAGCGTATTTTGCGATTTGAAATCTGTTTTTTGAAAATGATGTAAAATTTTAGGCACAAACTTTACTTCTGAGACTTTTTAAAACCTATTTTGCTTCGTTTTCTCACAAAATGCGAAAAACTGATGTTTGCATCTGAACAAAACCAATAGATTTACACGTGAAAACGGTGTGAGTTTAAAAAATACATTTGTAGATATATCAATGAAAGCTGACAAAGTTTTAACAAAATTCACAAAAAATATTCGTGAGTGACGCTTAATTAAATTGATTTTCTGACATAACGCCTTAACTTTAGGAAGTAAGTTCTATGTCAAAAGAAAGCAATTTTTGTTTTTTACAAGATATAATAACTTTGAAATTTGTCACTATTGTGGTTTCGGAGATATTTAAGAAACCAAAGCATCACTCACGAATAATTTTTTTTTTTCGTCAGGGCCCAAAAAATTAATATCCAACGTTAAATTATCTGCATTATAACAGCATTTCATCTTTATTTTAGTAAAATTATACGATCTACATTTGGGCAGCATTTTATCTGCACTTTATACGTTAAAAAACATCTGCATTATACCTTTTTTAAAGCAACAGCATTTCATCTGCATTTTAGGGGAAAATAAATTTCATCTGCACTTTAGCAATACCATCTGCATATTAGGGTAGCTGCATTTTAGGGATTTCTAGATTGAGGTTATTAAAGTTACTTATTTTTGGAAAGCTTATCAAATTTCCAATATGATGACTAGAAAAGTTTTGGAAAATTTGCAAGTAATATAGTCACTTTATGTAAAAAACGCATTTTATATATGCAAGTTTTTAATGTTTTTCATTTTTCTCAGCAACGACTCTATGAAAAACTTTTAAATTTTGCACACTCATTGCTTATATAAATGTTAATAACTCGTATAAGTTTCATTGAGTTTTTCACGAGTTTTCCTAGCCTGAATTTTTCACTATTAAAATTCATTTTTCTCGATAACTGCTCATTGTTATTAGATGTTGTTCATCTTATATTCTTTCATTTTTTAATAGCTTTTAATTGATATATAACAATTTAGAAAAAAGTATGAGACAAGAGAGAAATCAATAAAAAAGTGTGAAAAATGTATGAAAAATTTCAAAATTCTCCGCCATCTTGAATTTATTTTGCTTTTTCTGGTTAAACTAATTAAATTTCATAAAAGTGTTATACATTTTTGGAAAGATCTAGCTTAGTCCTTTCATTCACTAGAAACCGCATGAGTCTACGATTCGCACAAGTAAAATTATAGGAGCTTGAAGTTGGTAAGATAAAAAAAATTCAAATTTTCAAAAAAAAATTTTCAAAAATATTAATTTACTGCTTTTTGTTATTATTAGATGCATAAAAATGGTAAAATTTCTTGTTTTATAACATATTCTAACCAAAAAACATTATCTTATAGCTTAAATATATTAAGAAACAAAAAAAAATATTTTCTTTACATTGAGCTGTCTTTTCTTACCCACTTCAAGCTCCTATACTTTTACTTGTGCTTATCGTAGACTCATGCGGTTCCTAGTGAATGAAAGTACTAAGCTAGACCTTTCCATAAATGTATAACACTTTTATGAAATTTAATTATTCTAACCAGAAAAAGCAAAACAAATTCAAGATGGCGAAAAATTTTAAAAATTTTCATACATTTTTCACACTTTTTTATTGATTTCTCATTTGTCTCATACTTTTTCCTAGATTGTTATATACCAATGGAAAGTTATTGAAAAATGAAAGAAACTAAGATGAACAACAACTAATAACAATGCGCAGTTATCGAGAAAAATGAATGTTAATAGTGAATAATTCAGGCTAGGAAAACTCGTGAAAAACTCAATGGAAAATTCTGAAACTTATGCGAGTTATTAACATTTATATAAAAATTTCTAATTGTGTGTCCACTCACTTTATACAATAAATCAATATATAAGCCCATTTTTTCGGCTTATCTCAATTTTTGATTTTTTTGATAGAAAAAAGCCATTTGACACCCATTTTAAGTATTTAAATTGAACTTTACATGCTTTACTATGATTCTGTGTAATATTTTGTCAGCATGTAGCTATAGGAAGCTCAAAATTTCAAATTAGTCGATGCTAAGCCGATCGGCTATAATATTACACAGAATCATTGTAAAACATGTAAAGTTCAATTTAAATACTTGAAATGGGTGTCAAATGGCTTTTTTCTATAAAAAAAAAATCAAAAATTGAGTTAAGCCGAAAAAATCGGTTTCGATATCTGGTTTATACTTAGAATTTTTAAAGCAAGCATCGAATTTAAATTCATCATTCGATTGCATATTTTTAAAATAATTTAAAAATGAAGAAGTCCTCAAATTTTAAAGTGTTCCTGATGATTAGATATTTGGAGTGTCTGTGTAGTTGTAGCTGCTTAATTGCACACTTGTTTAGTGTGTTTGCAACAAAAGATCCTTATCCACATGATGTGATTTTTTGTGGAACATTTACAAGCTTTATTTTGGTCTCAATTCTTGCAATTACTCATCAATCAACAGGATCTTTTAATTATTATATTGAAGGAGCAACAGCATTGATAGGATTTGTGTTATTTATCTTTTCATCTATCTGGACCATGGTTTTAGTCGAAATGGATGAGCATCTTCCGTGGTTGTCTGAAAAGCAAGAGTATGATCATCCATTTTTCATTAATAATCGAGTCCAGAGCGTCGGTGCATTAATTACTGCATTTATATTTCTATTGCACTTCATATTTACAATCGACTACTTGATCAACAAATCAGAAAGTCGAAAGACAGAAGGTGACAATGATTCAACAACTAGTCTTTATTACCAAAATATATCTGTTGACTTGGAACTTTATTTCTTCCCTCAACACATGTGGAATGGAATTGTTAAAGCTGGAAAGAAAATGAAATTAAAATTTTGTAAATAAATTAACTTGTTCGTTAAAAATCATACTTTCTGCAATTTAAATTAAATGATTTAAGAAAGGCTTAAGAAAAAAAAGAAGGTATCGCTTTTAAGGTTAAAAAGGGGGGAAGGGGTCAATTATGACGTCTGAAATTAACGGTTATCTTTAAAAAAACAATTGATTCCAGAATTGTTATTATAGAATATTGTTTATTTCCTCTCCCCCCCCCCCCCCCCCCCTTTGACGTCATAAAATGAACGGCACCAAAAAAATTAATTGCAATTGTTAAAATGTGTAAAAAATAAATAAAAACCTTCAATTATGCCCAAAAAAAAAATCTAAAATTTCAATCAAAAAATATTTCAAAACTTAACTAGGCACTACAAAACTACATTGAAGGCAATTATTTTACAGAAATAAAAAATATGGTCAACGGGGTTGTTCCTTTATTAGGTTACACAAAAAACTTCTATTTAAATATAAATAAAAATAATAATAATAATAATAATAATAATAATAATAATAATTTAGTAATTTAAACGTGTTACAAATATTATATGATAAATTTATATTAATTTGATTTAAAAAAATTTCCAGAACACCCACCGCCCCCCCCCCCCCCCACTAATTTATTTAAAGTAATTAGTGAACAACCTCTGGAAAGCAACAACAATTATATTCCTCTACAATAAATGATAATAAATTTTTAATATGTGAGTTTCCCAAACACATCTTCATGTCCGCAGCAACAACAAAAACCAACGCTACCATGAAATTAAATCAAATGAAATTTTTAAATTTATAAATTATAAATTTTAAGCTAAATCCACTACATCACATTAGTTTTGTGTGTTCCTCGCTGCGTACATCATTCTCCTTATATGTCGAATTGATGTTAATGTATTTGCCTGAACTTTGTTCTGGTGTGGTTCTATAGTATTAATACAATTCATGAACGGTTTTATGTACTTAACGACCACACGAAAAATCAAATTTTACTTTGTAGTTGAAAGTTTTCTGGACATTCGCAATAGACGAAAAAAAAAATCGTGATTCAGTCTTTAGAAACTCGCGGCAGTGAAAATTTTTATCGCACTTGAGAAAAAAATAGTCAATTTATGCACCAAAGTACTAATCAATAAGCTTGTTCGATTTTCATACTACATTAGTGGACATTCGCAATAGATTCAAGGTCTTTCCTCGAACTTTAATACAATTACCGTTAGTAGACACTTGATGTGTGTGACACACATTTTCTCAACAATGTTTCATTTATTTATTGTAGTTTTATCAATCGGAAGTGACGGTGCTATTAAAATTATTCTAAATTAAAGCTCAACAATAGCTAGCTGGTATTGAACTTATTCTACAAAAAAAAATATAGCAACAACAACAACATAGAATATTAAAAACATAAATACTGCATTAAAGCTGATCATCTGTTGCCGAAAAAAAACACGTTTGTGTATCTTCATCGGTCGTTCTTCTCTCGCCGTTCTCTTCATTAAAGCTACTGACATCATCAAAATAACAGCACGTTTGCTTGTCTGTGTCTCAATATTTTTTTTAATATATTTTCTCAGTTCGAGTCGTGAGACAAACTTTATAGATCAGTTTAAGTTCGTGTCTCGTTGTGATGAGAGATCCACTCAAAATAATCATTGAGGATATAAATCCATTAATTTTTCAGCATTTTGATACACACGACATCAGACGAATAACATTAGTGTCAAAATTATGGAATCAAATTATCGGAAGTAGTCGACAATGTATGCGGAAAATAACGTGTCGTATAGATCGTCCTAGTTTGCAAGTTAATGCATTGAAGCAAAGTTCAAGGCATTATGAGAATTTTAAGATTGCACCGCGCGGCTATTATGAGGAATTATCTGTAATTCTTAATTATTTTGATGTGAAAAATGTCTGGATTAATGACACAAGTGATAAAGAAGTTGAGCACAATGAGTATGTGAACTTTATGAGATCATTTGCTGATACAATTGAATATCTTCAAACTGGTGATATTTCAACGAAAAATTCTAGTCGAATGACTGTCATTAATTTTCCAAAATTAAAGAAGTTACACTGCTCATTTACGAACCGATCAGCATTCTCGATATTTTTAGGTGATAATAAAAATTTAGAAACTGTGATTTTAAGTTCAGAACTTTATTCATGTGACGATGAGTTTCTAAACCATAATAATATAATTAGTGAGTTCCTGTCAAAAAATCAACAAATCAGGAATCTTTGGCTTCTTCATCTTGAAAAGTTGTTTGTGTATGATATCTCGTCGAAGGTCACACAGAAACTGAGACATATTACTTTTACGACTAATTTCCAAAATACACCGCGTCATGCAAAACAGAATTTTATTAAATTTATAAAATCTCAATGGTGTCTGGAAAGTCTTAACATGATGGGATGTCGTGATAAAAGTATTGTTGTAGACATTTGGAATGGATTAGTGAAATTCAACAAGCTGTTTGTGATCGACTGTAATTTTTATGAGGAACTGCATTCATTTGATCTACGTGAGAATTTGAATATTGAAGAAATTGACTTCTACTTATCATCATCGCTGCATGCTTTCATGTTTTTGCAAGCTGCTCCAAATATTGTATCTTATAAGATACGGCAACTGAGTAAACAACTGCTGGAATTTTCTATACGAAACTTAAAGTGTTTAAAGGAAATAAAGTATCAAAGTATTGATGGAGATGCTGCAAAATATTTCAAGGAAATTATAAGATCTTGTGGAAGAAGACCCTTCAAAGTTAAGGAACTGGATTTCTTTGAATATCTTAACATCGAGAAGCAGTGAAAGTTTGGTAATGTGATATTTAAGGAAGAAGAAGTGGAAACATTTATTTTTTAATGATTTTGAAAGCATATGGACATGCATTGTAGATTATCTTTGACTTTTTAATGTCATATAAAGTTAAAACTTAATAGCCATCTGCTTTTAAAATCTTCGAGTTCTCAAATATTCCTGGAATAATAATAATTGAATATTTAGTAATAATTTGTTGAATATATAGCTAAGCTTTGTTTATTATTCACCTTTTTGTGTCATTCGAGGTTACGAACTTTAAAATTTTATGAGCAGAATATTTAATCTAAAGAGAGGATTGAGTTTGACAAGATACCCGGATAACACAATTCGGATAATCGATCAGAAATCCAACACCATGTCGGTGTGACTCTGGCTTAAATTCGATGCAAATTCAGCTCCATAAAAATCACGCCAACTAGAGTCAGATTTCTGATCAATTATCTGATTTGTGATATTCGGGTTAGGGGCCATTCAAGTATGACGTCCAGGTGGGGGGGGGGGGGGGGGGGGGTGTTCAGCAAGAAAAGAACAATATAAAAAATTTCTAGAAATCCATTGTTCTTTTTTATATTTAAAAATTACCGTTAATTCGGACGTCATAAGTGAACGACCCCTTTTAAATCTCAATTTAAGTTCCGTATGTGAATCAGGATTAGATATCTATTAGGATAATATTCTAAGAACTAAGGTGAAGCCAAGATTGTCAGAGTAATATACTCCTGACTCTAATAGACAACATTCAATGAGTTCCATCTAGCTATCTAGTTAAACCCTTAAAATAAAATACTTACTTCAATCTTAATAATCAGTATGTTCCAGGATGTAAAAGTTCATTTCCTACACAATTAAACCTGATAATTAATCATGCTTAAGTAATTCCGCCCAACTTTCAATAAAAACATTTCTTTTGTATGTATTTCTCTCAACAATATTTTTTTTCTTTTTTATTCAACTTCTGCCGTCCTCAATATTTTTTTTCGTATTTATCTTGGCATCTTTATGAAAAGGAATGAAAAGAATAAACTTTCTTTCTTAACTGTTATAAAAATATTATTTAAGTCACAATTTGTGTCTTTTCTTTAAGTAAATTAGCTTTAAACTTAAAATTTATATTTAAGTAACAAATTAGGAAGGATAATTGATGATTTTGGTAAATATTTTACTGGATGAAAGCTTTGGATCAATATTGTTAAGTTTGTTTTTGTTAAAATGTTCAGAAGCTTGAGCTTCGGTTTGGAGACAGTATTTAACTTTCATCAACCAAGATGATTTTAGTTTCAACTTGATATTATCTGAGGAACTGATCAATTGACTCTTATTCATATTTGCTCATTTTAGATCAGTTCCTCATACTTGTTCTAACTTAATTTTGAATTAACAATACTGTCCAAAAATGATCCATTGCTTATTATCCTCACAATAATCCTTCAGTTGATTTATTTTTTTGTCGAAAAAACATAATATAATAATAATAATAACAAAACTAGGTTATCACAAAATAAATATGGATAGCGTATTTTCATAGCATTGATCAGTGTATTCATTGTCAAAATTACAGTCCATTGCGATTAAGATTTTAAATAGAAATCTTGAGCGGCATATTGTTGAAGTTTGATTATTTAAATTTCTGATCTTTTTCAAACCATCTTCATTATTTTGATCAGTTCTTAGAATTTTTACTATTACTGCATAGATTTAAGTAATATCGATTTACTATTGAACTTATAAGAATTCGTAAGAACTTTAATTCTTGTTCTAATATCAATCTTCAGATCAAAATCGACTTAATATCTTTAAATTGAGAAACATTTTAAAAATCATTTTCAAGATCCAGCAAATTAGATTCCAAAATCAACTTTCAGCAATATGCTACCCAGTAAAATGATACTGCACATTTAAATCCTTAAGATTAATTAACTTTTGTGGACATAATTTCATAAAAATTGCAAGAAATTAAACAAAAATTGATTTTTAAGAATCATTATTTTAAACAATTCTCAAAACAATGTTCTTTGAACTACAAAATTATTTTTCAAAAGTCTCATGCAATTTCCAAGAAGTCTGATTCCACAAATTAATAACATATTCTTAGTTTTGCATCTAAAGTTCTTGAAAAGAATACACTGTTGAACTATTTTAGAAACAGAATAAATTATTAAACTGTATGTGATAGTGTAAAAAAAACAAAAAAAAATAAATAAAATAAAATAATGACGTAATTCGATTAAAGTTCCTTTATATCACTTTTGAGATTTTTCATTAGTGGAGTTTTTTTATGTTTCTTATTTCAGTAATTTTTCTTGCTTTTAATTCTTTACTTTTAGCGTCAATGATTCAATTTTAATCTATTAATGGCATAAGTTTGATCACAAGATATGTCAGTCTGGATGTTTGGAAGCTCTACACAACTTCAGTTCCAGCTGGTGAATAGTTTAGTCCATTCGGATTGCGTCTACGATGTTGATCGACTTGATTATCTTGTTCAATTTGCTCACGCAACATTTCTAATTCTCTTATGCCTGATACTGATACTTCATACTTGTGCGTCATGAGACTTCGATAAAAATGAATTGCAAATGCTAAAAAGAAGAAAAGAACAGAACGTGTCAGTTATATAATAAAGTTGTTGATAAACAAAAATGAAACTTGCCTAAAAATACGATGAGTACTGGAACTAATACAATACAGGCTGACCAAGCTGCCGCTTGCGATAAATCGTAAAATTTAACCCAACAAAGTATCGCAATTTCTATCAAAAATAGTACTAAACCTATTAGTGTTGAAAATGCCCATGCAATTTCAATGTACCTGGAATTAGAGGTTAAAATAATTGATCAGTAAGGAATAGCTTTTGATATGATCCATTAGTATAGCTCGAAGGTCAATAATCTATCTTGAAATTAGTTTGATGCAAGATTGGAACCAGATTGAAGTGGGAATCCATCATTTCAGGTCGAATTTGATCTCAAACTTGCATTTAAGCTTAAATTTAGTTCCAAGCTTGTAATTAAAACCAGAATCTAATCCTAAGTTGGCATATACACCAGTTTCAAGCTAGATATTTCGTTTCTGCGACTTTTAACTTAGTTTAATAACAAATCTTCAAGACATAAGTCTCAAGTATAACCTAATGAAGATCCAGCAAAACTTACCAATGAAGTCTCTCATGTGGTGACTCATGTACGAGTGATATACTATGTAGATTACATACAGTCTCAATGTTTGGTAAAATACAGGTACTTATCATTAATGCGAGCATGTGGACCGCTACGAGGAGTGTTGTGCATACTGAAAAGGCAATAAGCATTCCTAGTGGAACCTTAGTGTCATTATTTAATTGGACTTCCACCATTGCCACCTGAGAATGATAAATAAAGAAAATTTTATTGGATTATTCGTGTGTTATTTTTAATTTCCGCGACTCTACGATAGAGATAGATGCATAACAATATAAATAGTCAAAAAAAATCCATTCAAACCAGTTCCGATTGTTATTTTTGGCTAGCATGCTGCGTAAATTCAACATAATCAAATCAACAGTAAAATCGAACTAGTTTGTATGGACTATGCTTAATATTGAGGAAGCAACACATTTGGTATAAAATATGCGAAAATTTCACATGTGACATGATGCTGATTTCTGGCAGTAAACTTGAAACAAATTCAAGGCAACTCAAATAATTTTTCTCAATCGTCTTTCCGTTTTGTGAAGAAAGAAAACAGAAGAGAATGTCGTAAAATCTTTTTCTTTACATCTCATTAAAATTAAATTAATTTTATGTTTTAAAAGAAATCTTTTTTAGCCTCATTTTTGTGTGTCTATATCCATTCATCACTTTGGGTGATTTACTTGTCACAAACTGTTTCTAAATTTGTAAAGAGCTAATCATTAACTGCTTATGTTAAGTGACCCTGTCATCTGCATCATCATTCAGTATGTTTTTCTCTGTCAGTTCTATCTGACAGGTAGTCATGTCATATGTATCCATAAAGCTATTAAGTTGTCTGTTGATCTGAGTTTTTGAATTGTTCATCTGATAAAAGCATAACTTTTTATGTGTTTTGTGCGAGGCTTGAACACTCGGGATTCAAAAAAAATCTAAGCAGTTCTTAGTTGGATTTGAAATAATTGGTCAGGAAGTGTTGTTTTGAGACACTGAGGGTCTCCATTGTCACTAAGGGACTGTTTACTTATTATGTCAAGGAGAGGTTCATTTATGAACCAAAAATTGGTTGACAATAATTTGGATTGAAGCAACAATTCAATTGTGACTAAGGTTGGTGCCACGGATAGCCTTAGAAACCGACCCTTGTGACACCTCCATATAGACGAATTCACTTTAACAGAAATGATTTGAGGTTTTAGAAATCACATTATTTCAACAACAACGTCACTTGTGAACAACCCCTCAAATTCTTCACACAAGACTCTTATTTCCAACTGACTCAAATCTACTTTGAAACAATTTTTTTGCACACTATTTCATTTTGACAGCTGCATTTTTCACACATATAATAAATTTCATTAAAAATCAATTCCACTGTTTTACAGTCATCAGAACAAAATGCGCTAAAGTTCACCTCATAAACAAATGTCGCTCACATGAAATTTTTTTACAAATTATTTTAACTTTTCAAGATCGCACAAAAAGGAAGAAATAAAATAAAAAAGAATTTAGGAAGTAAGATTGCTTACCATTGCGAAACCAGACAGAAGGGCAGATGTTTTACTAGATGCTTTCAGTTTCGCTCGACTCAGTTGTAGCTTCCTCCATGAGAGATAATTTGGTGTGTGAAATTCGTCTGTTTGTGACATGGCTAGACCAGTGCTGAGTCCTGATCGTCGCTGATTAGATTGAGAATTGTGATTAGTTTGACGATTAAAGAATTTATTTAATAACAAGAAATTGTCGTTCTCAAATTGATATTTTGCTTTGCGTTGTGCACTCGATGAGATAGAAGGTGGTGATCGTATTGACGGAATAATTCTTGCACTTGACGTTTGCGAAGCAACCGGTAAGAGATAATTATCGCGACTATTATTTTCTAGATTTTCATCTATTTCAATAAGCAAGCGATCTGTCGGCTTGGTTGAATCGCTTGCAGCCGATGTGGATGAGGATGACACTGGTGTTTGTGATGATGGTGGTTGTTGTTGAATCAGTTTGTTTAAACACAAGTCAGAATCTGAGCGACTGAGAGGAAAATGCATCATCTTTCACTCTCGTCTGAATATTGACTAAATTAAGATTTTCTTATGATTCCTTGACTCTACCTTTTGCTCTCTCAGTAATTTAAGCGCTAGTTTTTTACACAGAAATAAATTTTTGTATAGGCACGAGATTTCTGCCGACTGCAATAAATTAAAAGTCAATTGCTCGCTGCTACGTAGATCAACAAAATAATTTTAATGAATGAAATTTAAAATTCTCTTTTTAATTGCTTTCAATTCCTATGAATTCAGATTTGAATCAGGCTCTCACTACTTTTATTTTGATGAATAATTCATATTTTCTTTTCTTAGCGCATACACACTTAAGTAGCGCTATGTTGCCAATATGAAGGTATCTACTGTAACATTGACCTCTAATTTATCGCAATTCTCTTTGAGTTAATTCAGACGACGGATTTTTATTAATAAAAAATACTAAAAGCGTTTATTAATCATGTTTTTTTTTCTTATAAATTATAGCATCAAGTGCGTTGCCGTTTACTGATTTATGTGTTACTGCTTGAGACTCAGACTTGTGATTCGTTAAAGTGGATTATTTTTATGATTTTTGAGATTGAGATTAAATTTCAATGTTTTTATTGATTTTGAAGGATTAGTGAACACTGAGACTAAGTTCGATTTGATTTAAAGTTAAAAAATCGGAATTTCAACTTCTTAAGATTGTCACAAATATCCACATTTCAATTTGCACGAGTAAAAATATTTTTGCTTAACAAGAAAATGGAAAGTGGAAAGTTTTCATCTTAAATAAGATCCTTCTTGACTTGATGCAAGGTCTAATTTTATCGCAATTCACTCAGTGATTCACTAATTAGCCATCAACGCGTTAAAATTTTGAGAAAACATTGTTCGTTTCAGAGAAAAGCCGAAAAAAGCATTTGTTGATTTTTCAGGTTTAATATGAATAGCTGCTTTATGGATCTTTAGGTCTGAAAGCTAAAGTTTTTTCTTCGTAAGAAAAAAAAGATTTTGTTGGAAATTCTTGTTGGAACTTAATGCAATGAACATATTTATACAAATAAGAACATTGATTTGTCTTGAAATAGACTTTACAGAGTGGGTTAATGAATATACTCAAAAATTAATTAAAGTTTCTTCTGATGTTCTAGAAAATTTTGGAATAAATCTTTAAACATTTAAATTGAAATTTTAATTAGTTTATGTTACAAAAATCTGGAAAAATCCATATGATTTAAACTTTATCAAATATTTCGACCAGACTAGTCTGGATCTCCCTATAACTGCCATATGTGTATACTAATGTGAAACAAGTCAGGTTCAATGCGAATCGAACCCACGACCTCAAAAGAGGCGATCTCTGACCACTCGATCAGAGATCTCTTCCAATCATCCACCGAGGTACTTATCTCACTTCGGCTATCCGTCATACAAATATAACCATTTTTAACGCGAGCCCTATGCTAAGGCCTATCTACTACAGATATACCCTTCGAGCCATATCCACAATTAGCAATTGTTTAATGCTTTAAGAAAACCAATAAATGTCCTTCAATTTTTGATTAAATAACATTAAACTATCAAATATCACATAAGAAATCACAAAAAAGTATCTTATTTCACAAAAAAACAACCAAAATTGAAGTAAACAGAAATACCGGCGTATGAATTTGTTGTTCAAACTTAAAAAATACTAATTACTAAATGGTCGTTTATTAATGACGTCCATAAATAATTGGATTTTGTTTGAAACTTATAGAAATATAATAAAACTTATAGAATAAATTGCCACAGTCTCAAACGCACAAAAAAATGACATTATTTATAATCAACCCCAAATTAAATAATTAATCCACTGAAGCGAATCTTCCGAATCTCAAGGAACAATTGTCCTTCTTTGAACTTGGCATTGAGCTATTTGATATTTTGATATTTGATCATAAGTTTGATGAATTAACTGTGGTTTCAGGTTCAAAGAACACTGGATGTTATCAAATTTTAATAGTTCCATAGTCACTTTATTGAATGCTTTCCACATATCTGCAATCAAGGCCGTAAGTTTAAAACCAAGTTCATGGCATGATTCAAATTGAAACTATATGAAAGTCTCAAATTGTCAAAAATCACGAAATTCTTAACAAAAGCAAGCTTAATGAGATATCGAAATAGATTATAAATTGAGTCTAAAGTCACTCAATCTAGTGGTTTTAAGTTCAATATTTATTTGGTTATTGTGGAAACAAACAACATTAAAGAATATGGCAATTAATCAAAATTAAAATTTTCTTTTTATTCCTTAATAATCTGTCAAATTAGCACTTCCATAAAACACATGATTATTGTTTTTAAAAAGACTCCAAAATTTAAAATGTCAAAATATTTACATAATATCCAATACAACGAAAACAATTTAAATTGTTTTATATCAATCACACCAAACAATTTGACTAACACTAAGCAACGCTAAAGAACAAGTTGTCAAGTAACTTCCCGAACAACAACAAAAATGCGTTTACTTGTTCCAATATTTATCTAACATTATTTAATTCACTTTGATAATTAAAAGAATTTCAGCAGCAGCTGCTAGACAATCAAATTTCTTTTATTACACACAATTTGTCCTTGCTTAAATTGATTATTCTATGACTTATGTGCCACGTCGTTTCATGCCGACTATTTAAAAGTTTGTATTGTTATGTATTTCGCACATCTAAGTATGGAAATCCGAGAAATTTAACTCAAATAATTGAAGGAGAAATGAATAACATTTCAACAGCCTGAAGCCTCACTTTAAACTGATACTTTTTTTATGTAGTGACTCAATTTTTCTGACAATGGCATGAACTCTCGCAAAAAGTACTAAATTAAATGAAAAAAAAAAATCGTTTCCCTATGTGTGCGATTTTTTTTGATGAGCTGAGCAGTAAAAGAGTAAATAGTCATGACTTGATTTTGAAATAGCGGTACTCGGCTATCAAGAGAGCGAGAAATAAAAAAAGTCTCAACATGTGCGTTAATTTGTTGATTCTCTTGATCAACCCTTTTTGCAACTCAACTCGCGCTTTCTTGTTGCTCTTTATCAATGTATAAATATTGAGTGCTTCTTAATGGAATATTTACTTTTATGTTCATACTTAATAAACGATGTAAATTGCTTTTGTAGTGGTTGAAGTGTGTAATTGAAAAACAATAAAAAAGTCACAAATTGAAAATAAATTTTTTTACATTTTAATGGATCTAAATACCTTGATAGTATTCAAATTAGATGATTAAGGTGTTAAATGGATCTTTGAATAAGCAAAAGCAATTAATATAGTCAAGGACAAATTGAGTCGTTAACCTGAACTGCTATTCTTATGTGCATTGGTTTTTCCCACTTTTGATGGCTAATTTTATTTTATTAACTCTGCAAATATGCAAATTTGGAATGTTTTCTTATTAAATAAAATTCTCAGAAGTTAGATAACTTTTATGCACACAAATATTTTTCTTGGAATGAGATAATAATGGGAATTTTTGGTTACGGATAGATTCTTGAGTGGCGAATTGTCAAATATTTAAAAACAATATTTAGATTCTTGATAATTATATAAATACATGGCATCAAATTCTAACTTTTTCGAAACAAAATTAATATCCTGAAGCTCTTCAATGTCAATATTGACTTTTTTGCAAAACGTTTGAAGTTTTCCGTCGGAAAATCACTAAATAAGCTATTTCGAATTCATCTGAAACGGTTTTCTATTAACATTTAAACTTTATGGGACCTTCCTTAGAGGTCGTTCACTTATGACGTCCATCAAAAAACCTGATTTTTAGACCCCCACCCCCTCCCCCCCTCTGTCACAAAAATTCGATAGAAAAAAATTCCACAAAATCCTAGACCCCCCCCCCTACATGTCGGACCTCATAAGTGAAAGGCCCCTTAACTGTGGTCTGATTAGAGACCATCCTTTCTTTTTTAAAGCATAATGAAATATATGGACGACCCCAATCTAAATATGGCTCTTAATAAGTTTTAGAAAGAATCATTTCACAACCATAATTTTGATTAAGTAGGACAAACAATCAGAATAGCAGTGATTTAACAATTAGTATCATATTAAGCCAAACTTAGTAAATACTTCTAGGTTTATTCTCCAGGGAATGTTACAGAACTCGAGTGGACACTTGACACTAATGTCTATTAAATAACTAGACCTACGGTCGACAAATGACACTTTTTTTCTGATCATTCCCATAATTTGTCATTAGCTAGGGTTACCATCTAATTTTCATGAAAATACAGGACTTTTGGTAAATTTTTTCGAAAAATACAGGACATAGAGTAAAATTCGAAAATTAACGGAAATTTTCGTGAAAAAAATACAGGACCTGGAACAGAGTTTTCAAATTTATACAAGACAGGTTATACAGGACTGTCCGTTGTAAAACTACGCAGATGGTCACCCTATCATTAGCCGACCTTAGGTATTGTTGTTTACTAGAAATAAGCGACAAGAATCCTCTAGTAGTAGATTCTATCGTCAATCAGGATCCCAGTACCTCGGGTTCATTGCATACTGCTTCATTGTAACCCGTTTATATTATTATTGTTATTATATTCAATGGAGCCATAGTAATGTCCTGAAAATCTTTGGGCAATGAAATCTCTTAATTATTAAAATATCTTGAGATCATAAAATTATAGATATTGAAATTAACGGAAGATTCTGATTCTGTCAATATTGCAAAAAATATTCGAATAAATCGTCAATGAGATAAACTGTTCCAAACCCGAGTGGACAAAGTACTAGTTAAAAGCTTGCCATTGACTTGCCTGTTCACGGCGAGTAAGTATCCATTGACGTGCCTTTGCAACTAGACTTAGGGACGACTAATGACATATTTTGCGCTTTCCATTTAACTGGACATAGGAATTGCACTTGTGTCTAGTTAATGTCCAGTTACAAAAAAATCGAAATAAAATAAATAACACGTGTCTTTTTCTCCATATTTTTTTCTTTTGTAAAATTATATTATTGTATTAGTGTAATTAATTAATTAAAGTACACTCACTTATGAAAAATCTCTAGTAAAAATTGAGTCTCGAACACTTGCGCGTGAAACAATTATATTTACTTAAAAGTTTCATACAAATTTTGGTGGACCTTATATAAGTGATTTCTGTAAGCACTTGTGAAGTATATGGTCAAAAAAAAAGGAAAATTATTTTTGAGTTTCGAACACTTGATTGATTAGCATGAATGTCCAGTTAAAGTCTAGTTAACGTATAGTTCTCTATATCGTATATATTTCGACAAGTTAAAAGACTGTTAAATGATTGTCCAATAATGGACTTTAACTGGCTGTGTCCACCCGGGAAAAGTAAGCAGATCTTATCTACTTCAGTAAAAAACAAACAAACAAATGTTTACTGCTAATATGAAGAACAAAGTGTTACTTCCTAAAGGCATCATAAATTGTTTATGTTAAGATTAGCATGATTATGAACTTTACTCGATATTGAGCGTTCTTTAATACCAAAGTAAATTTGATGTTTTCGTACTTCCAAAGATTTTCATTAATCCAAAGGTTCTGTTTATTTTCTATTTAATAAATTCAGCATGACTTTGAGCAATTTTTAATCCATAATTCTCAAAAAATTAATTTGCAAATCCAACAAGCAAGCAAAAATTATTTAAAAATCATCATTAAAAAAAATTTGTAATCATATCCATTTCGCACATCATCCAAACATCATCACTATTATTAACTGGATATATACAAATTTTTAACAAGTTCATTTGCTTAAAACTTGAAAATCAATCAACAATTGAGATAAAAATATCGCATTTCGCTCTACTGACATGATCTAGTCAATAGAATATTGAGAAAGTCACGAGATTAAGTGTGTGTATTTACAAGTCATCAAGCTTGATCAAATTACGAATCTCAAATAGAGCAGAGAGGCATAATCTTGGCGACAATTAAGACTCGAATAAAATTGATGAAAATCGAACTTATGCTCAGATGCTGTAAGCAAGCAACTATTTTTAGTAACAGCTCGACAATTATCTTATCTCACGCGAATCACGTAATAGTTTCATGAAGATTGTGAGATTTTTTTTTAATAATTCAATACTAGCTTCACTAGCTTGCGCAAAGAATTAAAGTCAATACGGGATTTTATGTAGATTGTCAATGAGAACGTCAATTTATGATGAATATTAAAAATTTGATTTAAGATTTACCTTTTGTGAGGAAATGCTGTTCCGGTTCGATTGCCAATTTGCAGATGTTGAAATTTGAGAACAATAAAACTGATGATGTGGATACTGATTTTTTTCACTATTTATAATATTGTTATTATTGCTATTAATAAGATTATTATTGGTTAATGTCAAACTTGATCCACTCGAACTTTTCGATGAATTATTACTTAAACTTTTTTCACTTAACAAATTTGGATTGCTTTTCTTCAGTCTAGAATGATACGTTGTACCTAATGTTGTCGCTAACACAGTGTCTAATGATGTTGAGATTCCGGCCGATGCAAATATTTTCTTGCCTCTCTCAGACATGTCGCCTGTAAGGATATTAATTGATTGAAATTCATTTTTACACTGAATAAGATTTCTTTAAATGTTGAGAGGAAATAAGCCGTCTGTTTACGAAAATGTTCACATCACTACTGTTATGAAAGCTAGGGGCTCTAGACGTTTCGATTGAATAATTTTTTATTTACTAATTTAATGACTTTTGCCATATAATTCACCATGCATGACTTTTTGATATTAATTTTTTTTATATTTTCTTAGCTATAAAATAACAAGTTTGTAGTGTTTTTACAAATTTATGTCATAATTTTGCAAATGGAAATTTAATTCACTCCAAAAACAAATTCAACTAGACTTCAGAATCTCTAAATTATCGACTAGTTCTGGTTCTCTCCGCTTCAATCAGCGCCCATTTTGTGTCTCAACTTACTTCTACTTTTCAAATTTTTAAAGTTCGTTAAGCTTTTCTAGATTATATTTTCTATAATTAACACATTATTATTTTAATTAAGTGAAATAATCACGAAATTTAATTCCAAATAATTAGATCACTTAATAATTATTTAAAATTACTTTAAATTAGTTCAAAAGTAATAAGCTTCCTGGTAATCAATATTCTACTTTCTTCTTTCTTTATCCTTAGCAATTAATGACTTTTCAACATGTTTGATGCGGATTTTCATGCTATAATGAACTTCTATGACGTCACTTATTACGTTTACACATTTCTTTCCTGCATATCTAATAGGAACTAATCAGACTTGGAAGCAGCGTAATAAATTACTTTTTGTTGTTTATGGTAAGATTCAAATTATTTTTTGTATGCAGTTCATGAATATTTTGTGGTGGAATCGCCAAATAAAAGTTTCCTGGTTTTAAGAATTAAGTTTAAACTTTGGCGCCAAAAAATTGATTTTTAAGAAGGAAACTAGAAGAAGTTATCCTCAACATCATTTTTGAGTTATAAGTCCAAAACCAAATATAAGTTTTGGCGGGAAAATAATTGATTTTCAGTCTTCAAAAAAAAATCCAAGACCAAAACTCGAAGTCGACTCAAGATTTTCATCGATTTTGTCATCATCCAAGATCATTTATCCAACAAAAGCTGTTTATTGCCGGTTAGCCAAAACAATACCGGCAAAATACAATCGTTTACTTTGTATAACCATCAACATGCCAAGTTTGTCACGATTCAATTGAACAATGAAGTGGAAAGACTACTGTAAGTTGTCTTGGTCAAGAAACAATGCAAACAGACATAAATAATTTATTAATAATTATCGCATTATCGTGAAAGAATCTCACGGAAATCAAAAAATCCAGTTTAATGTGGAGTAATATGAAAATTATAGTTGAATACTAATTCAGTCAAATCGATGAGATTAAATAACTTAATAGCGATTCTCATAGAATAGAGTAATCAATTTCATTCATCATAATTAATTCTCTAATATGGATTGATTTAAAAAAGGTTAATTGAAAAAATCTAGCAAGTCACTGTCAGGAGAATTCCTAAGAAAAAGTTGTTTAACTCTTAAATTGATTACAATTCCAACTTTAAAGCAATAAAGATATTAAGAGTAACTTGATGTATTATAATTAGCACGTGCTTGATAGCATCACGATTATTAAATTTCACAATAAAAGATACTCAATATCATCAATAGGAATCGTTGTGTTGTGACGTCTGTTGTCAGGGAAGAAGAAGAAGGCAGTTTTCTCGTCAATCTAGGGGTTCAAAGGGGTATTGGCCGGACCTACTTAAGAGTCTGACCTTGCTCAGTTCTTATTGAACATTTTTGAAGATTGGCATCTGACTCTATAGCTTGACTCATCGTCTAATCCAATTAAGCTTTACAACTTAATTTCCTAATTTCAATTTGCACAAAGAAAGCAACAAGAGCCTTAATTTATTCCTAGAACCATAGTCGTAACTCACAGATGACCCTCAATTAGATTTTTGTAATACATTTTATTCAAAACAACAGATTCAATTCCACAAATCAATTTCAAGGACAACGTGTTGTGCATTAAGCAACAATTAAACTTCTTGACTCCCTCCACTAAGCACATACATGCACTCCAACAATTAAAATCTTCGTAGAGAATAAAGTGTGCGGAAAAAAAAGTTTTGCGGTCACAAAATCGAGAGAAATTTCTCACACGCCTCCATATTTTTTTGCATGTGCATTGTCATTAAACTCATTTAATGGTCATTTTTAGTGAAATTACCTAGCAAATTATTTTCGATTCAATAAAAACCTTTATTTCCGTATTCGGTTTTATGGTTCTGAGTAGCAAATGAATTGAATTCTTTACATGCGAGTGCAATTTTGTTGGTTTTGTAGTCCATTGAATTTGATTATATCGCCGCATGCCAATAAATTACATACCTTGTAAATCGGAATAATGTGCACCCTTCATCACACGTGAAATTATCTACAGAAATATATTGTATGTCGAAGATAACATGGTAGTGATGAGCACATTGTTCAAATGTGCACGCAATTTTGTAGTAAAAGTTATCGTGACATTGTTGATAATTTACTTTATTTTGTGTTGATAATTTTTCACATGAGATACTGGATTTAAGCATGAATTCGTTAGGTAATAATAATTTCATTTGTAACTTATCTCAAGATTTGATCTAGCTAAGCTGTTTTTAATGCTTAATGAGTTTTAGCTTCCGCATTGAGCACCGAAGATGTTTTAATAATTGTTGGCTGTAAAGGATGTACTTTCATCCCAAACAAGTCAAAGAACCAGTCCTTACTCAAACCTACTCAAGCAAGCTTTACTTAGTCCTAGGATTCAAGTTTTATTTTCCTTATAATCAAGTTACAAAGTTGACCGACTACCATAGTATACTGTTGTACTGCAGTACCCAAAAGCTCACTTCCCACCCATCTCCACAACACCCAATAATTCACCAAGCTTTTGTTCTGTTAAATGATGGAATAAAGCTTTTCATGATGATGATATCAGATAATAAGATTAATACGTAAAAAATTGACAGTAATTCGCCTTTTCATTTATGATTTATTGAACTATTTTTTATGTGAAAGAATTCCACATTCGACATGTATCATATGTCAACACAATTAACGAATCAAGAACATTTTTTTTATGCTGTTTGACTGTCTCTGTAGGAAGTCAATTTTTGCTTCAAGCACTCCGACCATGCCCTCACCAACTATACTCAAAATTCGAAATGGCTTTTTCGTGGTTTCTGTTGTTGTGACAGACTGTGATGATTGAGTTTGCTGATCTGAATGAGGATTTGTTGTTGTTGTTGATTGCATCGTTGTTTGTTCTACTGTTGTTGCAGCGTCATCTTGACTTAATGTCAAATGAGTGAATAATATTATGACAAATAATGTTTTAAACATCTTAATGAGTCGATAATGTAAAATGAACTGTTTATGACGAGTTAGATGTTCGAGTTTGTTCCAAAATGAGATATCTTTGAACAACTGGATTTTCGAAGGTTTTTTTACACGTTATTTAAAAGTTTTTGTAAAACTAAGTCAGGACGGAATTATATCATTACAAGATGAGTCGTATAAGTGCATTAAATCAATTTTTAAACGAGTAACGGGACCAAAGAATTAAGTTTTGAATGTTTTTAAAATCGTGCGCAATACTGCGCCCTATAAATTTTTGAAATAGTGCGCAATGTTGCGCCAAAGTACACATTTTAAAAAGCGAATATGTTGATGCAGTTCCTGTAAAACTTTAAACTTTAAACTTCGTTATGTTCATTAATAAGTGATTGCATAATATTATCTCCAAAGTTTCAGGAAAAACTAATTTGATTTAAGTTTTTCCTTTTTACGAATTTTCGAAATCAGGGTGCGCAATTTTGAATTTTGCATGGTAGACCGACAAATAAGACATTTTTACAAGTTTTCTTGAAAACTGTAACCGTCAAAGTGTTAGAATTGTTCGTATCAAAAACTTATTAGTATCGAATCAAGACGTTCGAATTAATATCAACTTAATATATAATTAAGGACTAGTCCAGTAGTTTCTAAGCTTAAGCCTTCCATATTTTTAAAACACCAATGGGTTCTAAAGCAGTCCTTGCACCTAATTGAACCCTTCGGAAGTTTAAACAAACCTAAAATAAAACTTTTCTGGTTACAATCCTGTCTTAAATGCCTTAATAGTCATCACAAGGTTGACAATATTTATATTGTTTACACAGTTTTTATTTTGAGACATTGTGAAATATCTTTAAACTTTTAATCGAAGAATTACGACTAAAAGCGTAGATCGTAATGAGTTGTAAAGTTTTAAAAACAAATTCTGTTCACATAGCAGAAACAAACTTATAAAAGAACTTGAATAACAGCCTTTAAAACAAGTGTTTAAAGTGCAAATATTTATTTAATATCGAATCATTAATAACTTCCAGCAATAAAAATTGCTTTCAAGTTTCAATTGTCAAAATTTCCCCGAATTTCTGATGAAATCAATTAAGAACTAAGCAGCACGACTTAAATCTCAATTAAATATAATCAAAACAATGATTCTTATGAAAATTCATCAAACACATTCAATTCTCTATTGTTTATCAGATTTAATGATAATGATGAGCTTACCGAACTCAAAAAGCAATATTTAATAAACTATTATTATTCAATTTGTGCTGAATGGTTATTATATATCTTATTATTGCCAAATGCACACATCAATTAATGCATATAAGACAAATATTTTCCGGCGAATAACAAAAAGCGCATTTTGAGTGAGAAAATTCATAATCTGGGGTGAGAATACAAGCTTTACGATAATATCATCGGAATTTACTGAATCATTGTATTAAATACATGAAATCAGTCAAATAGAGAGATAAGAATGTTTATGAATTTAATGAACAATATTAAAATAAGTTCGTAAAACTTTTGATGACTTTGGGTGGATCTAGACCTCCTTCTCCATCCCAATCACTGTTGCCAATTTTGATTAAGTGTCATGGAACTTTTAATGTGTTATTACTTTCTAGGAGCGTAGCAATAGGGTAGCTACTAGGTTATTAACTAGGGTAGCTACTAGGGTCGAAAATTAAATTCCTCAATTTTTCACAAAAAAATGCAATAAACTTTTTATTAAAATTCCAT